GTGTGTGTGTGTGTGTGTGTGTGTGTGTGTGTGTGTGTGTGTGTGTGGTACTGGTGGACTCCAGCATTGAGAAGTTTGACTTCACAAGCCAACACCATCCAGGCTGATCTGATCTTTGCTCCTGTGACTGTCTATCCTCTCAAGGACTGCTGGAAGCAGAGGTCTGCTTCTGTGCCTAGGTCTGAGAGAAGGAACCTCCACTGAACATTCTTTTGAGCATGTATTTCCAGTGCCATTTGTCTTCCTCACAGTCTTTGTACTTGGGCCTTGAAACCTGGATATAGTATAGTATAGTCCCTGCTATAGTAGCTATTTAACCTCACAAAACCTGCAGGTTTTTGCCTGTAAAGCAGAATAATCCATGTTTTGCCTACCTCAGAAGAGTGAGGACCAAATGAAAGTCAGTATATGGGTATGTTTGGGAAATATAAGCCATGTAAAGATTAAAGATATTCTACCAGGTGGTGGTGCCACACTCCTTTAATCCCAGCACTCAGGAAGCAGAGGCAGACAAATCTCTGAGTTTGAGGCCAGACTGGTCTACAAAGTGAGTTATAGGACAGCCAAAGCTACACAAAAGAAGGTGTTCATATTTCCCTTTGATGGTTTAAAGCTTGTGCTGCGTGTATTGTATATTTATGTGGTGTGTGTGTGTGTGTGTGGTCTTTGTTGTTGGTTTTAATATGCACAGTGTCTTTTGATAATTGTTAAATTGACATCATTCAGGGGGTCATCTTGTGAGAGCCAGCCATCACTGTTGATAAGAGAAATATCATATTTCATAATTTGCCAAATAAAACAGCTTAAACCATTTTGTTAACATGTGGTAATTAGCAACAGTAGTCGTCAACATTTATCACTAATCTAAGCCACTGTCTTCTTTAAACTGTCAAAATTAACCCCCGAAGTGATACTGCCTCTGCCAACACTTGAAGAAACTGGGACTTGGAAAGGTCTTTTCGGAGCTGCTGGATGAGCAGGAACTGAGAAGGGTTTTTAACTCCAAAGTGTATTTTCCCCTTCCCTTCCTTTTACGTTATACACGATCCCATTGTTTAATTTCCAATAATTTTGTTTATAATCCTAGAGAATATAAAAAATAAACACTTTTTTCAACATCAGATTAAGAGCCAGACTGGAAAATGTGGGTTCTGTCCTTTGGGAGGTTACTTGACTGTATATCTCAGTTGCACACCTTTAAAGTGGGAGTGTAACAGTGCACACCCATGGCTAAGCAGGAAGCATCATGTTAGGTCTAGAGTGTAAAACACCAGCTGCATTAGAAATGAATTTCATACGTACCTTTCTACCTAGAACTTTAACGCTCTTGTATTAATATGCATTGAACCAGCTCTCAGCTATATTTCTTCCCTTTTCTGGAATAAATATATTATAATAATGAGTTATTCTTGACCAGTTGGCATCAGGTCTAGAAAAGACAGTGTATCAGCAATTCTTAGTTATTTGCTCTGAATCCTTTCTGTAAACCTGACAGAGTCAATGTAAGGAAAAGCCATCATGAAGTCACCAGGTTTGCTAGTTAGCAAAATTTGGTAACAAAATACTGGAGTTAATTTTTTGTGGTTAGTAGCTATCATGAATAAATTGAAATTAAATTTCTTGTTTAAAATTATTTTATTCTAACCTGTCTTTGGTCTGTTCCCCACAGAAACCAGTGAAGGTGTGTCTTTACAGCTGGGAAACACAAAAGACTTCATTATTTCATTTGACCTCAAGCTCTTAACAAATGGGAGTATATCTGTGGTTCTGGAGACCACAGAAAAGAATCAGCTCTTCACTGTGCATTATGTTTCCAACACCCAGCTAATTGCTTTTAAAGACAGGGATATATACTATGGCATTGGGCCCAGAACGTCATGGAGTACAGTTACCAGAGACCTGGTCACTGACCTCAGGAAAGGAGTGGGTCTTTCCAACACAAAAGCTGTCAAGCCAACCAAAATCATGCCCAAAAGGGTGGTTAGATTGATTGCAAAAGGGAAGGGATTCCTGGACAACATTACCATCTCAACCACAGCCCACATGGCTGCATTCTTTGCTGCTAGTGACTGGCTAGTGAGGAACCAGGATGAGAAAGGTGGCTGGCCAATTATGGTGACCCGGAAGTTAGGGGAAGGGTTTAAGTCTTTAGAACCAGGGTGGTACTCTGCTATGGCACAAGGGCAAGCCATCTCTACATTAGTCAGGGCCTATCTTCTAACAAAAGACCATATATTCCTCAATTCAGCTTTAAGGGCAACAGCCCCATACAAGTTTCTGTCAGAACAGCATGGAGTTAAAGCCGTGTTTATGAATAAACATGACTGGTATGAAGAATATCCAACTACACCTAGCTCTTTTGTTTTAAATGGCTTTATGTATTCTTTAATTGGGTTGTATGACCTAAAAGAAACAGCAGGGGAGAAACTTGGGAAAGAAGCGAGGTCCTTGTATGAACGTGGCATGGAATCTCTTAAAGCCATGCTGCCCTTGTATGATACTGGCTCTGGAACCATCTATGACCTTCGCCACTTCATGCTGGGCATTGCTCCCAACCTGGCCCGCTGGGACTATCACACCACCCACATCAACCAGCTGCAGCTGCTCAGTACCATCGATGAGTCTCCAATCTTCAAAGAGTTTGTCAAGAGGTGGAAAAGCTACCTTAAAGGCAGCAGGGCAAAGCACAACTAGAGCTCGAAACCAAAAGCGCATTCCAGCCTCTTCTGAGCTCAAGGGCTGAGCTCTGTGTCAGCAGCACGCCATACGTTTAAAATGGTGTGTGTCTGGGATTAGTGGGTCATAGCAACGTGAGAAGAGACCCTCAAAGTTAGTCTTCTGAAACAATTGCATTCCATGGGTCAGGTGCTTAGAAATGTAGGCACTGCAAGTGTTGAGTCCTTGCGCTGAACAAAGATGTGATCTCTGCCCTGCTCGTCACTTAGGCCTCCGTGCAGAGTCGTTCTGTCTGTGAAAAGTAACGGTAAGTTGCCGCTGCTAACCTGCTGCCCAGCACTTACCTAAAACTTAGTATGGAGTGCTTTTAAAATGTGATTATTTATATTTATGCTGAAAGCAGGCTCTTAGAAAATGGTGTGCTGTACTGCAGTAAACATGTATGTATAGCCTGGATTGTGGACTGTGTTTTTTCAATGTTTCTTTCCTGTAGGTTCATTTCTTTGGAGAAAGTGAGTGTTTGTTGCATTTGTTCAGTTATATATGGAAAATATTTTGAATTATGGTTTTATTGAACTATGTATATTTAAACACAGCCTTGTTCAGGTCTCATGGTCACATAGCATAAGCACAACTAAAATGAAACTTGTTGACTGCACAAGAAATTACAGACATGTTATGTTTTATGAAACTTGATCTACAATCAGTAGACGTTTGATAATCATCTTCCCCATCTCTGCCCCCAGCGCAGTGTGTCTTTGTCACTATCTGCAATGTTGCATTTCATTTCATACTACACTTTGGGAGTTTTGTCCATTTTGAGGACATTACCCAGAATGTTAATTATAAGCCTAAATTTGTGACAGACCTAATGATTTGAAGCCTATCATCAGTCCCTTTTAGGATTTTTCTCCCCCCTTAAAGGGAAATTGCTGGGTTAAATGTTATGTTCAGGAGTCACAGTGAAGATGTTCCTGCCTAGATTGTCACCATCTCTTCTTATCCTCACTTTTTCTCTGAAACTTCATTTTGAGTGATTCCAACTTTGAAACAGAAGAGATGCTACCGTGTCTGCTGTCTGTGTGCTACAAGATCTCTTAAGGGTTTCAGAGTCCTCATGCTGTGGACAGTGTCTGCTATAGGGCTTCAGGCATTAGGTAAAAGCAACAAGGATTGGTTTTGCTCTGGTTTTTGTTTATGGTGTGATAATATGGAGATAGTTAGGTAACATGAGTTTCACACTTTCTAGGGACAACTAGTGGAGCTTATCCATGCTATCAGTCAGATGCATGTTTAAGAGCCAGGTGAGTGATTTGCTCACACATTGTAATTCTGTTGAATTCAGCTAACTGTTGAAACTGTTGAAATATATATGATGCACATACACGCATACATAAATGATACATATATAAAGTATATTGACATCAAAAGAGACAGATATGTACTGAAGATAAAGACTATTAAACTGTTGGAAAATAAGTGTAAACTCCCAGTTTATATGACCACACTTTAATTTTGCCTACAATGAACCCAGTGTGGTCATCAGGTTCCCCAGCTTTTACCTTTGTGATTCTCTCACACACAGTGTTTCAGCAACATCTGAACATACACATTTGTCTCAGCAATAAAAATGAGGACTCCCTTTATATTTTCAGTACTGATGTTCAAAAAAGCTTCCCTACCTGGGAACACTGTTCACTCTTAACAGATTTGTTATTAGAGTGGTCCCGACTTTGCTTTATGTTTGCGTACTGGTCTTCAGATGAGAGGGGGTCAGGGGAATCATCGTGGTACTGCTTCTGTGACAAACGCCAGTGCCTTACCAATGTGCTTGTCCTTTTCCACTGAAGAGGGAAAGTTTGCTTTGTTTTGTTTCTGATATAGAAATGGCAGTTCACTGCTGTTGCTTTTCCACTGCCTTCCACATTGCAACAGCTACTTGACTTGTGTTGTGATCCCAGAATTCCCCAAGAGGTCACACTGAGCCTGTGACAGCACTGTCAGTGCTTGTCTTCTCAGACTTGAGAATGCTTTCGTCACCCGGGAGTTTACATAATGAGACTCTAGGTGTGCAGGAAGTCTGCCTGCAAAGTGGGATCCGCAGCATGTTTGACAGATGGGGTGATGCTGCTTCGGGAGAGCTGGGCATGTGTAGAGGAGCGCTGCCTGGGACCCATGCATTTTTGCCTCTGGAAAATTACAAAGTTTCCTAGGTTTTTAAATCATGTAAATGTTTACTATCCTGAGGATAGAGAGAATGGGGAGGGTATTTTAAGTTTTTGTTGTGTTTCTTTAAATTTTTCTTTAAAAATACTGGTTTGAGTCACTTATCTGAGTTAGCTTCCATGTTGTGAATCTGTTACCATCTTAGTAGTAAAACCAGTCAAAAGTTCCTAGACAAAGGGCAGTTTGACCCTTTAGGAGTTACTGTATATAACGGCTTCCTTCAAGAGCCACGCAGCATCCATGAGCAAGTGCAGCAATGACACAAGCACACTCTCCAGATGTGGCGGGACTCTTTCTTTTTTGGTGTACAGACTCCCACCAAAAGCTGCTGTTTTTGTTCTTGTCATTGTTTCCTCGCTTCTCCTCCATTGTACATGTGGGGTATATGCCATGTGTCAAATATGCAATAACGTGTTTACCGGATGCCCTTCTGAAGGGTGGTCCTCTGTAAAGCTGTACAGACTTTGCAGTCCAAGCACAATGTGCACATGTTAGTTTTATATACAGCGAAACTTGATTTTTTCAAATGGAAAGGTATTTTGTTTCTATACAAAGTTAAATGGGTTGTTTGTGCTTAATGTAAAGCTGCTTTATAAAATTGTAAAATAAAGTTTTTATCTTGAAAAGAAATGTACTTGGATATGTCTCTTCTTTTCCTGCTTAGTTTGTGATTATGTGAGCCCAGCAAGCATTTGACCAACATTTCCTGTTGAGCCTGCAGACAGGGAACCAGAGCACAGCATAGGAGCCTTAGTCTGTAGACCCACAGTACACGGGACAGCTGAGAAGATACAGTGCTGCACTGTGCTCAGTCAGGGACTGAAGCTCAAGCTGGGGCTCTGGCTAGTCGGGCTGGTTCCATGCTGCCTGTCATCTTTCTGTACTTATATCTTTAGAATGATCACATCACCTCATATTCTCACCTTGGTAAGATTTTAGGTTCCAAATGTGAATCCAGCTGAAGCTGCACTTTACTGAAAAATTTTACATGCTGGAATTGCGGTTGATCCTCAGCCAGCTCTTAGATTCCAGTGGCCATACAGGTCAGAGCACAAGGCTGTTCTTGTTCTTGGAGCTGTCCCTTGTCCTCTGCCTTCAGTTGAGAAACAGCTGTGTGGCCACAAGCAGTGTTGGACCAGAGTGGATCATGAACTACTCTTGCTTTGATTTTGTAATTTGTGATAAAATTAAGGTTTGACCATAAATCTGATACTCTTTTAATTGCCCTTGTGGGGCAGATCCTTCATACCACAGAGGACTTAATACCTAATGAGCTCTTTCCTGCCTGTGTGCTGAATGGCCCTCACAACAGCTAGGTCAGTCAGTCTCTTCCAGCAAGGATTCAAAATTTAGTTAGAATTTTAAAACTGTCATAAAGAGAGAGAAAAGCAACAGAGAAAAAGCCAGAATTGTGACAACCCCAAGCCCTGGATTCAATGCATTTCAGAGGGCAGTGAACCTTCTCTTAGGTTCCATAGAGTGCCCCGGTATCCTTAGGACATTCCTTGTGTGCTGCTATCGACTGGATTTGGTTTCTGTGGCTCGCATTAGTTGAACCCTAATGAATAATAGTTTGAGGACAGTGGTCTGCAGATGGTACATTTATTCATCCTTTAGGGTGGCTGGAACAAAATACCATAGGCTAGGATAGCTTAAACAGCAGAGATTCAGATGTCTCAATTCCAGAAATGGGAAATTTAAAATCAAGTTGTAGGTAGGATTGGTCTCCTTCGAGGTTGTTTTTCCTTGCCCTCTCCGTGGTTGTCCCTCCAGCTATGTTGTCTGAGTCCTAATCTCAAGGACACGAGTCACACTGGTATAAGGACTATTGACTTTTTTATGTGTATCACTGTTAGGGGTTTGTTTATTGATTTATTGCTTTTAGGTTTTGTTTGTTTGTTTGTTTCGAGACAAGCTTTCTCTGTGTAGCCCTGATATCCTAGAACTCACTCTGTAGACCAGGCTGGCCTCGAATTTACAGAGATCTGCCTGCCTCTGTCTCCCAAGTGCTGGGATTAAAGGCATGGACCATCACTGCCCAGTTTATATACCACCTTTTTAAAAAGCATGATGTCCACATACAGTCATATTCTGTGATATATTGAGGCTTAAGATTTCAACATGCCAATTTGGGGGCAAAGTGTCACATTCAACCCATAATAACCATTCTTCACACACAGCACACAGGAACAGTCATTTGTTAACCAGTTAAGTCCCAACTCAGGTGCATAAATGGAACTCAGGAAACATAAATGGGGCAGAGCTGTCTGGCTCACAACTGTCAGGAACTTTGTCTTTGATCCCATGAGTTTTAATTCCTTCAATAGTACTGTCCAGAAGAAGGTTTTTTGTTTTGTTTTTTTGTATATTGGTAAGGCAAATACTACAATGATGTTTAAACTGTTTTAAAATGATGTTTTAAAAACATACCATCGGAGGCTGGAGATGGCTCAGTGGTCAAGAGTACATACTACCCTTGCAGAGGGCCTGATTTCAGCTCCCAACACATAAGTCAGGTGGTTCACAACCACCTGGAACTCCAGCTGGGGGATCTGATGTCCTCTCCTAGCCTCCAAAAGCACCGCACTTACACATACTTGTATGTGCTCAAACACACATGCACATAATTTAAAATAAACATCTTGTACTGGAGTTAAGAACATTTCTTGCTGAGGATCTGAGTTTGATTCCCAGCATCCATATGGTTGCTCACAACCATCCATAACTCCAGTTCTAGCGGATCTGATACATGCAAGTGATGCACTCACATGGATGTGGGTAAAACATACACAGTACAACAACTTAGACATCTTTTTAACAAAGAATTTTAGGGCTGGAGAGATGGCTCGGTGTTAAGAGTAAATGTTACTCTTTCAGAACATACCCAATGTGTACGCCAGGCAACTCACTACTGCCTGTGATTCCAGCTCAAGAGAATCCAACACTTCTGGTTTCCAAGGGCATCCACACACATGACGTGTACACACACACACACACACACACACACACATCTTTAAATAGTTTTTAAAATTTAAAGTATGTTCATTTAAACTATGTCTTTATTTTGAATAGAGAATTCAGAGATACCCTACAGCCATAGAGAGGTTGGAGAAATGACTCATTCACCAAAGTACTTGCAGTGCCAAGTATGAGGACCTAAATTCACATCCTAGCATCCATGTAATAAACTGGATACGATGGCATCTGTCTGTCCTCCCAGCACTGGGGAGGCAGAGATATGAGGGCCCCTGGTCTACCTGGCCAGCTGGTATAGCCAGTCATCCAGCTCCAGGTTCAGTGAAACACCCTATTTATAAAAATAAAGTTGGAAGTTATTAAAGAAAATACCAATGTCTGGCTTTCACACACCTTCAAATGCATGTGTGAGTACATGCATGCACATACACATACGTGCATACATGACAGATGAGTATTTGAAAATTGCAGTAGTGAGATTTTTTTCTTTAACATAACAGTACAAACGTATTATTTTAACCCCCCCCCCCGACCAAGCAAAGGACCCAGCAAAGTTCAGCACAGCCTCTGAACCTCTTTCTGACCCCAGTAAGGGTCTCAAACAGGGCCTTCCATGTTGCAGATGTTGGAGCAGCTGGTGGCATGGGTAAATTCCTCACACACCTGTGTGCACTGTCCCTGTGAACCAATCCTGCCTTTCACTATGGTTACCCTGGCCAGCATGGTGGGCTGCATGTGACTCATGTTCCTGATGGCAATGATCTGGCAGAAAGCAACTTTTTTTTTCCTTGGCAAGGTTTCCTGGTTTGTTGTTGTTTGTTTTGGACAAGGCCTATTACATTGTCCTGGCTTGCTTGGAACTCAGTGTGCAGACCAGGCTGGCCTTGAACTCACAGAAATCCACCTTCCTCTGCTGAATGCTGAGATTCTGAGATTAAAGGAGCATGCCACCGCACCTGGCTTTAATAACTTTTTAATCCCAAGTTCTTATTTTTATAAACTGTTTAGAACAGTCAACAATCTAGGATAAAACACTGATTTCCATTTTCCCAGCCCATTAAGAATGTCAGGTTGAAATGGATGTGAATTTAAATGTTGTGTTGGTGATGAATTTGAATGTTTGCTGCTCCGTTTCTGGTGAAAAGAAATACATTTACCATCTGGAGCAAGTGATTGATCGCTCCCATATGTGAACTGCACTTCCTGAATGGTAAAGAGCAGCCACTCAAAAGTTGCTAATCCTCCTCCAGGAGTGGAAGGATTTTGCAAAATGATAGCACTGCAAAAGGCCCTTAGGGAGGAGTAACAGCGGCAAAGGGGTAGAGAAGAGGAGGAGGAGGACGAGAAGCGGCAGCCTCCACATGAAGCACAAGGCTAGGCAGAGTACGGTAGGGCAACCTGGAGTCAGGAGGAGCTGGTGCCTGCCTGGGATTCTGCTCCGGAATAAAACTGAAGAAAGGCAACTTTAAGCTGTGGGTCTCGACCCCTTTGGTGGGGGTCACATATCAGATATTTACATTACGATTCATAACTGTAGCAAAATTACATTTCTGAAGTAGCAACAAAATCATTTTCTGGTTGGGGGCAACACAACATGAGGAACTGTATTAAAGGGTCGCAGTGGTAGGAAGGTTGAGAACCACTGAGCTAGAGGGATGGCTCGGTTGGTAAAGGCTTGCTATGAAAGCATGAAAATCCAGGTTCAAATCCAGATAGAGCTACGTGGAGTGTTGCATGCCTGTGACCTGCTGGGGAGGCAGAGACCACCAGGTGATTTCTGGGGTCTCACTGGCGAGTTAGCCTAGCCAAATTAGTGAGCTCAAGGTCCAGTGAGCTCTGGGGAATGGGGGGAACAGGCAGACAGACAGACAGATTGACTGACTGACTGATAGGCAGAGAGACAAAGACAAGACTAGAGGTCAACCTCTGACCTCCACACTCACACAGACACACACCTACCAACATATACATACACAAATGGCTATTTCTAATGTCTGGAAAACCTGGTATTCCTTGCTTTGGGGCCTAGAGAAGACAGTAACTCTCCGGGGTGAGGTGAAACTGAATTTAAGTCTTGCCTATAAACAAATATATAGCAACAGCATGATTTGATTTTGATGCCTGATACCAGTTTTTAACAACTGGCGAGATGAATTCTCTGGAATTCAGCTGACTACAGTGGGAAAGCCCAAATTCCCAGTCTGTCAAGATGAACTGAGGGAGGCGTCTTGCCGCCCTAGCTCCTGCAGGGGGCACTGTCTCCATGGGACTGTGGCTCAGCATAGACTGCATTTTATGTTCGGCTCCCATCCCTAAGGAGTGGGGGAAGTATTAAAAAAAATTACAAATTCAAGTTAGAGTTGGAATTAGGCACTCTCCCAACACCTTCCTGCTGTGTGCCTTCTAGAGTCATTGTACTGTACTTTGTCCTTGGAACATTCTAGATAGAGGAGCAGCTGCCACACAGATCCCCAGATCCGCACTATCACAGAATAGGGCGGGAATCTGGGCTCTGGACTGGCTGCTCAGTTCTCTTTCTTATGCTTCCTCCATGGCTGTTTAACCTGGAAATGAGGCGGGGGCCCCTGAGGTGCACCTTATCTCACAGCCTGTTGTGTCCACCCTAGGATGGCTCTGGAGGAGAAGGAAGGGGC